CTTCAGGATGAATGATAAATAATCCTTATTGTATTTTTATTTTCTAACAGAATTTGAAACATATCAGGTACAAATACTCTGCTGCAAAAGCAGTTCTTTCAAACAGATTTTGAACACAAGTGATGCAACTTATAATAAACTAACTCCATAAAATTGAAGGCGACAGCACATGAACTTCTCCTGACATTAGGTTGTAATATTTTAGAAAAATAATAAACATTTTCAACTATTTTTTAAATCACAAACAAATTCAAATAAAGAATTAAAAGCTCTGTGAAAACCCCTTTTTCAAACATAAACGTGGTATTTTCTGCCTCTCTGTGGTGAAATACAGCACCTGGTTTAACGTGGTAGCATTGTCCCTGCTTGTTCTAGCTTGATCTTGTTTTTGTTTAGCCAAGTTCTAATGTCTATTTTAAAATAAGATAATATAGATAAGAAAGATAAGATAAAACAACATACAATATGATACAAAAGATAAGACAAGACAAGACAAGATAAGATAGACATTTATTGTCATTGTACAGAGCAAAATGAAATTCCAGTTCAGAACAACCGTTCAGAAGAAGACAGAACATAACAAACAGGAGAACAGGTGCTCTGGGTCATGCAGCCWCAGACCTGCACAGAGCAGGATCATCTTCATGAAGACATCATGAGGAGGTGCTGCTCTGAACAGAAAAACTAAAAACCACACAAGGACAGATGAGGAAAAACACAAAACATCATATTATATCAACACTGTGACACTATGGTGTTTATAACAGAATCTCTGCATAGAGCAGGTTTATTAGCCAGAGGAGTARGTGAGTTTAAGGTTGTGTGGATCTGAAGACGAGTGTTGTATGCACTGAAAAACCAGGGGTGGCACACCAAAACTAATATCTATAACAGAAATGTTATGACGTGGTTGTAAAAATGACAATTTGAAAACTATGACAATATAAAGCCTTGGATTTGCCAACAGATTTTCAATTTGTAATTTTACTGACGGGGGGTTTGGGGGTTCTCCCCCAGGAAATTTTGAAAGAGGTTGATGCCATTTCCTGCATCTGGTGAGGCCAGAGTTGTCACAGCACAACAGGCCCAGCACATCATATACCTGCAAAACAAAATGGCCTCAGGCCATAACACAGCTTTTTACGCTGGATTTCATTTTGTTCGGTCAATTCTGTGATTCTGTCCAAATTTTCTGCGTCGCAGAAATCATAGGGTTCATTCTTTGCTGGTTGCCTTGGGTCAATACATTGTGTAGCTGTTCACACAGGGTTGTAATCTGTCTTGGATGGGCCAGTACCTGAATGGCCGGGCCAGGCCCGCCCACATGACGCCGGGTCTGCTGTGACATATAACTGACTTATAGACATGAGGAGCATTAATGACATACAACAAAACTCTGCGAAGGAAATTGTTTTCTGGACTTGTGTTGTGTTTCTGTTCAGTGGATTTTGGTGTGAGCGCTCAGCTGGACCGGACTGTTGGTCGGAGAAACACTTTCATTGGGACGCCRTATTGGATGGCTCCGGAGGTTATAGCCTGTGATGAAAACCCTGATGCTACATATGACTACAGGGTAAGTAATCTGGTWAAAACCAGCCTCTTGTTCTATCCTTCATACAGAGGGTCTGGAACCTCRGCTATTAAGAAGTGATTTCTTGTTCAAGGCGTGAACTCTGAAGTTTTAAATGATTGGATCTGATGTACCCAACTGCTTAACTTTTGACCCTGACATATGTAGTGCACCAGCTCTAAGCTAAGAAGCTAACTGGAAATTGTGTGTGCTGTAAACTACCATCCCCTACTGGGAGGAGGGACGTACAGAGCCGAAGGAGAGGGCTGTAAATGAGAGCTGCAGACTTTGTGAGAAAAATTTATTTTAATTTGGAAGCCTCGTCAATATGGACCGGCTTCACTCACTTCCTCCGCTGCCATTGCTRAACTACAGGCAGATTAACAGAGCAGAAAATCAGTATGGTTGTTCACACCACCTCCTGTTGTTTCCTGATTGGCCCAGTTTAAATTCTACCAGAGAAATATCTATAAAAGAAATCCCAGACCCCCAAAATCCCAATCATAGTAGTGAAGGGGAACTAGAATTGAGCAGAACTGTGTAGGAAGGCAAAGGGCCAGGCTACAGGAAATATCCTGATGGGCGGGCTGGGTTATGAGACACATCTTAACTTTGATAGTCCAGATCAAGGCACTGACTGTCAACTATTACCTCCGCCAAGGGCGAGGTAATGTTTTTGGTCGTGT